CGGTTTAGGGCTTAGGCCTTGGGGTTTAGGGTGAAGCCCCAAGATCAGTACCTTCCTACCCATGAACTACTTATAGGGTCATTGGGACTTGGTAAGTAGGTCAATAGTTAGGCTAGGTAGGGCTACTACATGGGTTCTAGGGCTCAGTAACCTACTTACTAAGTCCCCCTGACCCTCCAAGTAGGAAGAGGGGAAAGCAATGTTCCAACTATAGGTCTGCACTGCAAGCAAACCCTGAGCTGTACACCGTAGTATTGGGAGAATGGAAAATACAACGGCAACTACTATAGTGGAGAATCGAATGGAAAAGAAAATGGAAAATGAAATGGAAACTACTATTTAGGCTGTAGGGTTTAGGGTTATACAGGCCGTGCTAGTAGTTTCCATTTCCCGTTCCGTTGCGTCATTCCGTGCTCACCAGGGGTATCTATCTTCCCTGGGTCATAGTTTCATGCAATGTTTTGCTTCCATTTTCTGAAACCCAAACAGCATTCAACGTTATCATTCTCAGCAATACTCCGAAAAGGAACCGAAAGACCTTCTTGCCTGAACCTTAAACATTTTACCCTAGTCGCGATTTGTGTCCCTGTATATCCATGTATAACCACCTTTAAATCCTTTTGATGGAGCGCTTAATTGGAGCGCCTAGGATTCCTTCCGCCCCTTTGTGATTGGCCTGACCTTGAAACGGATCGAGGTGCTGGGTTCGATGGTTTAATGGTTAAAGGGTTTCGGGTTTAGGGGTTTTAAGCGATGAGTTTGTGGGTTTTGGGTCGCGGGGTTCAGGGCTTGCTTTTATTTCTTTGTTTCAGGTCATTGTTCTGGGAACGCTTATGTATAATGCCACCGCTCACGGATGTATATCGTCATTGATACGGTGGAGGTTCTGGTTCAGGACTTCTGGTCTAGCCATAATATGGGATTGTCTCAAAATATCCCCTAGATACCCTGAAAAGGGCCCAGGAAACGTTCCATAATGTGCACGAATCGCTAGGGTCCACCGTGTACCCCTATAAAAAAAACCGTCCAAAGGTCATCGTCTTGAGAATGTGGGCACGAGTTCTGAAGCTCGACATGTTATGAGGGTTTAATGTTTAAAGTTTAGGGAGTTCATCATCATGACTTGTGCTGCATCCTTGCCCTTCAGAAATTTTCCGCTTACCTAAGTCTTATGACGTTCTAGGCTTATATGAAACCCAAACCCTGAAGCCAAAACCGTGCTAGCTCGGTAAACCTCAATCCCTAAACCCTAAATATGAATCTCTAAAACCCTAGCCTAACACCTAAACCCCAAATCTTCAAGCCTAAACTGTAGGCCCTAGCCCGTAAAACTTAAACCCCGCACTCTAATCCCTAAATGCACGCAGGAAAGCCTGAATGTCAAGCTGGTGGCATCGTCCATCAAGCTGGTAAAAGAGCCGCGCGGCCTCCACGTTCAAGGGGTCCTAGGGATTAGGGTTTGTAGGATTGTTTACCGCAATAATGGAGAATCGAGTGGAAAATAACATGAAACATGAAATTGAAACTGTGATTATGTAGTGGTTTATAGGCATTAAATAGGATGTATATGGCCTTGCTACTACTCCATCATGCTACCCCCGGGCTTCCCAGAAAGTATGGCCATTTAGGGCTAATTGGGATCAATTGAGGGGGACTCCAGGGGAGTCAGTGGTAGGGGCACCCATGAATTGAAAGGGTTTAAAAGCAAGCAATGCGGAAGTTGGTACCATATGGTTTTTGCTCTTGGTGTTAATCACCCAGACAAACCCACACCCGTGCATATCCCGCAGGCCCACAACAACTAAAACATTGCTCCAACTTGGGGTCTTAAAACCAAGCCCCTAGTCTCTAAACTTTAGGGTTTTTGGGCTTAAGGTTTAGGAGCTTAGGGTCTGAGGCTTAGGGATCGTAGTCCCGGAGTCCGTTTGGACCTTGCAAAATAGTGTTCACATACCCCTTACATCCGCTAGAAGCCCCAAAGGGCATATTGGCGGGCTAGACTTCCAACATTGATCTGTTTTTTAATGACTGGTATTTCTAAGATTGCGGCTGCATTTTAGCCTTTATATAATCTGTTGCTATTGTTGTCTGTTTAGGGTTTTGGGAATCCACTGGGCGCAAACTCATGAAGTCCCAAATGTCCTGAACACCCTCCTGGGGGAACCCAAATACACAACCTTCTTAGGCATGCTAGGCTGTGGACAAAAATTGTACACCCGCCCCGGCTAATATGTTGCAGAAAGCAACAATCCCACTCTTTAGGGTTTAGGGTGATCTTTGCAGTAGAGCAGCCAAAGGACTCGGGAGTGTCTCAGAAGCGGATATTCGGTTATATAGGGGTCACATAGGTCTTTTATACATACGGGTCATACAGGGGTTGTAAAATGGTTATGTAGGGTAATATAGGACTCCCTAAGAGCTTCCTAAGCCCTTCTTAAGACCTCCTCCATGTCCCGTAAGGTCTCCTCATCTGGAATTTCCATGCGTGGAGCCCATAAAAGCTTGAGCTTTAAACACTGAACCCTAAACGCTGAACCCTAAGCCCTAAACTAGACCCTCTTAGTGTAGCATGTAAGCCTACATGGTGAGATTGAGAATTTCGGGGATTTGAGCTGTTCCAGATATACATTCCCGATTGCGTTGCCAATATGAACCTGCCCTTGTAAGGCCCGAAGCCCTAAGATCCCCAAACCTTACAACCTCAAACCCGCAAACCCCAACATCCCAATCCTAAGCCCTAAACCTTCAGCCCTATGTTAGGCCCGAAAAGCACTCCAGTTCCAGGGTTGTACGTATATACCTATATGTTTATATGAATGGATGCATTTATACCGAATGGTTTCGAACTAAGGTAGAGACTACATGTTGCTCCAGTCCCTAAAACCCAAGTCAAATCAGCCCTATACCTTAAACCCCTAACCTATTCAACCTTTGAACTCCTAAACCATTCAGCCCCTAACCCCTTGTTCTCATCTCCAAAGTTGGTCCGCCCCTGTCCCTGTCGGAAGCCCAGAGGTTTAGATACAAAGACGGCGAAGAAGGCGGTAACTCCATTCCCCGTGAGTTCCGAGCCATAGCTTTCTACGTTCAGGGTCGGAAGTTTCAGGTTCAGGGTCTAGACCCTAAACCCCTAAAGTGTGGGGCTTACAGTTTCAGAGGTATAGTTTGGGCCCTGAGCTCCCCATAATAAGGACTATAGTATTTTGGGGTCAATGTTGGGGTACCCCAAATTTAGGGAAATTACCATTTATTGCCATTATCCCTATATAACCCCAATATAACCCCTGTATAGCCCCATGGTATTACGTAGTGGCCATATAAGGTGCTCAGGGATGTCGAGTCACAGCTTTGCAGTTCACAGGGCGGAGGAGGTTTGGGGTTTGAAGGATCCCTCATCCCTAAAACCCGTATGGGGGTTATATTGGGGATCTATTATGGTTTTAGGGTTTAGGGTTTAGGGGTTCTATTGGGATAATGGAAAAGAAAATGGAAACTACTCTATTATATAGGGGTTATAGTTGGGTTGACCTTTATCCCCCAAACCAGGTTCCCAATAGCTTGAAACTCTAGGGCAGTTTCCCTGAGCAGGGCCCTTATATACTTACTGTATACGCTTCATGCACCGCTCTGGGGTTTGGGAGTATCCTTAAGCAGGGCAAGTAAGGTCCAATACAACCGTCAACTTTGGACAGTTTGAGGCGGAATCTAGTGTTCGTTAGGCCTGTTGGGATTCTATTTAGGATTCCATTGCTGCTTTGCTCGAGCAGAGGGATGTTTGAGGTTCAGGAGTCAGGGGCGAAGAGCTGAGCGATCTTGAGGGAACCTTTCGAGCTCGGGAAGTTGAAAAGCACCGCAGTAAATACTAGGTTGTTTGCTTTCTGCCGTTCAAGAAATATCTTTAATTTGTCAACATAATATAATATAGTATATTATAGTATGTTATTGTATATTATAGTATATTATAGTATATTAATCCAAGAATTCAGGTTTAAGGAGGAGCGTTTCGACTTTCGGGTTTAGCGCTAGGAGCCCCGTAGTCCTGATCAGGCAGGCATAGACATCTTCGGGAGCTCGCAGTCGGGGACGAAGTGTTAAGAGTGGCAGGTACGGGTTAAGAGTTCCGGGGCTACGGCTAGGATTACAGATCGTAATAAGCTCTAGCCGTTCACAATCTCCGTTATAGATGACTAGTGTTTTGTAAGGTGCAACCACAGGAAATCCCCAAAAAGCAAGGAGAGTTGCCCGACGACAAGGACTGCTTCGATGAGGAGCTCCCTCAGGAAGAGACCAGGCGCCAAACGGTGCCTCGGGGTTGACAGTTGAGCTTAGCAAGGCGTAGGTTCTGTGTTTCTAGCATGCCAGTATAGAGTAATTGGGTACAGTAGGGGGCCCAACGAGCTTGTATTGTGTGTCTATTCAGCAACTTTTGCAAGCCGGCTTTCGATGTTGAGCATGAACCCTGTGACTACAACCATTTTGGCTGCAAGTTTAGTAGGCATGGCAAACTCATTGTCAGAGAGTTCGGATGGCAGCTGTGGGACCTCGAGCTCGCTCGGTGAAGTGAACGCTGCTTGCATGAAGGCTTGGCACCGATGGTGGCCCGGATGGTATTTCGCGATCATTGCAATACATGCCGCGGCTGCAGGAATGCTCTTCCCCGCTAAAGGGGATTCGCGTAGCATTGAGGCTATCGCTATGACTGTTGTCATACACTGTCTGTGGAGCACCACAGATTTTGCTTCAGCGGATTGATTCTGGCGAGTTTAGGATGCTGTTGTGTAGCAGCTTTCTTGGCAAAAAGGGCCAGTGCTTCGGCTCATGTTCGGGCAGCCACTGGTTATGCCATCATCAATTGGCTTCAATCTTTGCTAGCAGCTTTGAGCGTGGACAACCAGGGAGTCCGCTATGGACTGCTGGGTGCGGCCTTTCGCTTTTTTTCCTCTCCAAATCCGACGATTGTAGCATGCAGGAGTTGTCTCTACACGGTTGCCTCGCTCTGGATGCAGAGTCTCATTGCTTCACGAGTGGAGCTCTTGGAGAAGACTTCTGGGCAGAAATACTGCGGTGCCTGCATTCGAAGGCTCGTGCGCGTGCAAATCTGCTTTGCCTTCTTGACAGGATTATCATGTGCTAGCATTTTGCTTGTCAGTGGGGATCTGCCATTTCTGCTCCAACCTTATCATCTTGCACTGGCAAGCTTCACAGTTTTGTTCAACATACTGACTACCATGATGGTGGCGCTGTCCCTGACCCAGTTCTTTCGCCACTTGCGGAAGGTCTTGCAACTTGCGGAGCTCAGCGACATGTCAGTTCCTGCGAGGTCATCATTGCGCCGAGCCCGTCGTTTTGCTGCTTTGCAATTTACGGGTGTTCTGTTGAGCCTTGTGCTCACAATTTGTGTGGTTCCATGCATATGGAAGAGCATGTTATTGAATAGCACGTTAAAGTTAAAGTTTTCGGGGCTCCTTGACTTGATTCCGCTAGATGCGAGTGTTGTAGTTCAAGCTTGCGATCTTCTTGGCAATGCACTCGGAGTGTTGCTCCTGTCCGGCAGCCATAGGTTGCCGAAAGCAGACGGGGGATTTGGCCATCGCCCTGTGGGGCATGCGGCAAACTCACCAAAAGCAATGCCAGCAAAGGAAACCGATTGGAATCCCGCCTGGAAAGGGAAGGTGGAAGAGCTCTCCTTGCGGGGCATGACATTGCGCAGCCTTCTGCGCTTCTATCAAGACGACCTGCCTTCCATACGAGACTGGCAATATGCGCCGAAGCAACACAAGACCAGAGATGTGGCGCGCAGGGCGATCATCCCACTCACAAGCAACGAAGAGGCTGCGTACGCGGTCTCTGTTTTCAACAGAGATGGTGGGCAAAGGGCCCAGGTCATGGTGACTCACAATTGGGCCAACTGCTTCAAGGACCTGCTGGCAGCCGTCCTTTCGGATGCTTTGCAAGAGTGCAGTTTCAGCTTGGCAACACGGCTGCTGGAGGGAGAGAGCGATCTGCTTTGTGAGATGCTGACACACAGCGGCCGCCTGGATGACACGTACTGGATCTGTGCATTTGCCGTCAACCAGCACATTTGCATATGCCACAGCACTCTTACGACCGGGACCCGTTCACAAATGAGCTGCATCCGGTTTGTAATTGCAACAGCATGAATATTCATGATCCAGATGGCAGAAGTATTGTGTCAGAGATCAACAAATTCGACGACATGATGTATCACCTTGCAACAACAGGAGGCTGCAGGCAAGTGATTGCGGTGGACCAACAACTTGATTTGTTTAATCGTGCCTGGTGTGTGGCCGAAATTGCAGAAGCCAAGCGTCTGCAGATGAATCAGGCGCTAAAACTTGCATCCAAAGCGACCATCATGCAACGTGCACGCACTTTGGAAAACTTGGATGTCCGGAACATGCGCGCATCCTCCGAAACAGACAAACAACTCATACTCAACAAGATAACAAAAATCACAAATGTCGACCAGTTCAACACAGAACTGCAAGCGCTCATTTTCGACCCGAAGTCTGGCCTTCTGGCATCCTGGAATGCCTTGGACAGTTTGCAGCAAGTTGGAGAAGTAGGCCGGCTAATTCGCTGGGGGATTGCTGATGCAGGCACTGGGAAGGTGTGAAAAGCATGGGAAGCCCCTGAATGATTTTATATCCCAGCTCGTACGCATTTTGTGCATCCCAGAAGAGGCATGCTTTGTAATCTGTCGCAAGACCGAAGGCCGCGAGGCTGTGTTTTAAATTTCAGTGCTGACCATAGGCAGGCGAAACCTTTGGAAGTTACAAGCCAGATGAAGCGATGAAAAGCCACTATGCGACGCTGCGTTCGCAGAATCCGTTTCCTACACTCACCTCAAATGCCAATGCACAAACAGTCTCCATGGCTAGGCGGCCGGGCGGGGCTTGTAGAGGTGTACGGTTCTAATGTAGACGTTAGTTATAGTTTAGGTTCTTTGACCCAGACCCCGCACCCTCACATCCTAAAACCCTGTAAGCCCAGTGCTTTGGGAGTCTCCGGCATTTCCTACCATTGAGGCACCGGCTGCTGGGTTTTTGTATCAATGAGACATCTTTAAGGGTGCCTGTCTTCAGTAACCCCATTTAGTCATAGAGCATGTTATCCCACCTTCTATATGAATATGTTTGTATTGTAAAGATGTATCTAACTTAACATCAGATTCAGGCATCCGTTTCCTCGTTCCTTCCGAGATCCTTTCCGTTGTTAGTGAACCCTTTGTAATGCATGTTATACATTAGTCATATCTCCACATTGTAACTTAGCCGCTGCTATCCACTGCTAACTTTGCTTACGCTGTGCTTCATCTGTTTCAGCTCGCTTGAACAACATAGTTCACATGCGATTTTCCCTGGTTCCGCAGATGCCCCATGCCCTCTTCTATTTCTCCCAATGCCTTCATCCAATGGTTCAATTACCGTTTTGATGCGTAAACTTCCTTTTTCATCACTATTAACCTCTTGGGTTTCTCATGCATCTTTTGCAGTGCTTCCTCTATTCCGGCTAGTACATCAGGCGGGTCTGTAGTCTTCCAAGGTATAAGAACTAGCACTCTCACGGCATGCATCAACTAAAGAGGCCTTTTCACAAAATGGGTTTCTGAATCTCCTCGCTTATCGACAAATACATCAGTCCAACCGACATTCAAAGTGGGTGCGAGGTGCTACACAACTACTTTCACCACGAAGCTTTAGTTTCTCTTCAACATTCGTTGTACAGAAGTCCTCAACATCCGTCTTCGTGATGGTTTTGTCTTTTGTTTGGTATTAGCAAGGGCAGTCACCTTACTCCTAAACCCCGAGCGGTCAAAAAACATATACATACTTATCATCAGCGAAGTTATGTTTCGGGAAAGCCAACGAAGTCAGAAGACATTTCTTGCGTCTGATTGGCACTGCACTTACAATTTTAATGGCACCTACATAACTTGCATCTGTTGGTCTCTATGTCGAATTGCTTACTTCGTTTCTGGCAGTTGCTTCTCCACCTTTTTACACACCACTCTGCGGGCATCAGTATCCGTAGAATCGTTTATCTCCCTACCTCAATTTCTTGTTTTTGTCCAGCACCCTTTTGAACTTGCTGCACTTATAGAACTTGACCTGCCTACAAGCGCCGGCTCTTGCTATTGCTGTTCATGTCCATTCATGGGACACCGAGTGAGACAACTTTCACTCATGAATCGTAGTGCTCCTCTTGATAATTGTCCCTGAAGTCTAGGTAAGTAAGGTATGCAGAGTAGGGGTCCTGGCTATTGTGGGAACAAGCGGATCGCTTCCAAAAGGAGTGATTGCAGTAGTTGTGCAGCATTTACTTCCGGCTTGAAACAACACGTATTCTCCTGCTATTGAGGTGGGAAACGGACAGGGGATACCCCCCCGCCACCCCCCAAGAAGAAAAGAAGATGGTTTTCACCCTCTCCGTCAGGTGCATTGGGTGTGTTCTGCTGAAACCTAACTAAGGCCCTTCGTACAAGTAGCTAGGCCTTGACCCCACCAACCATCTACTGCAGTCTTCTTACTCCTACATCTGCCCGGAGCTTTTGTATAACCCTCAATCCAGTGCCTGAAACAAGACGGGTGGCTGCTGCAATCACTTTTTATGGCATCATTCCTACCATTCCAGAACACCTCATGCTTTCATTCCCTCTTTAAGTTCATAGCTCAAACTCCCAAACCTTGTGAATTAAACTCCAGCCTTGTACCTCCAAAATCCCAACGTTAGACCCTACACTCGTAAGCCAGAAGCCGTTGAATTCCAGAACCTAAATCCTAAACCGAAGCTTATAAGCTTTAACCTCTTAAACCCAAACTCTGGTCAGAGGCAAGAGGAGCCGCCAGCAGTCCTCATAGAAGACATTACGCCCGAGTGCAGACACTTGGCAGACTTGGATCAGTCAGGATTTTGCTGTCGGGAATCTATCAAATGTAGATACATGTTATATACACGTATATGTACATTATACATACATGTATATATGTATATACGTACACAGTCTGGATACACACACTACATCCAATTACATACAGGTAAATGCACACACTTAAGTAGATGTGCAGAAGTCAAAGCGCATGCATTAATTTTCAAGATTCTACTACTTCAACCTGCAACTAGGACTTGAGGATCTATTAAGACTTTTGACCTCTCCACGAACTTCCAAAGAACATGTAGCCTCTGTTCCGGGCCCGGAAAAGCCCTACATACCCTCCTCCAAATTATTTGACATAACGACTAAATTCAAGGTCAGGGGAAGGAGGGTTTACGAGGAGTTTATGCATAATAGAGCCCTCAAATCCCTGATCCCTCACAAAGCCCTGAAACCCCAAATCGCATCAAAAAAAAATCCAAGCCACAAAAACCAACATCCTAAAATCCGAAAACCACCCCGAAACCTTAAATCCCCTAAACCCTGGGCCCTAAAGCCCAACACTTTAACCTCGAATCCCCAAAACCCACCGCGCCAAGGCAAGGCGCCAGCGATCAAAAAGGGTTTCCTCAACAGTGGTAAAGCGGGCCTCTACGGCCCAGAAGGCGCCAAGGGGGGTTTTAGGACTTTAGGTTTTCAAGGTTTAGGATACTTAGGGTCATGCAGGATTTTTTGTACCCACCGTGTATGGCACGTGTCTACGGTTTAGGATCGACGGCTTAGGGCTTAGGGCTTGGGGATTAGAAGGTTAGGGCATGGGGTTGCCGACTCTTCCCTAATGGGGTTTTAGGGTCTAGGGTGTAAGGTTTACGGTTAAGGGCTTAAGGTCTAAGGTTTACGGTTTAGGGTCCAAGGTTTGGGGTTTAGGGTCGACCACAAGGGTTTTATGAGCTTTTGCTGTGTTGCCCGCAGCGATAACGTGCGTTTGAGGGGTTACATACAGATTATAGGATACAGGTTCTGGGCTGGCACATCTGATGGTTGTAATTCGACGACTTCAGTCGGCATCTGGATCGCGGGCTGTATTGACGAAGGAATCTAGTCAACTGCACACATATTGACACAAAGGCCAGTATGCATATGATGAGTTTCACTTATCGTGGATACATTTTGGGTGGTCCTCGTAAGCGCAAGAGCAAAGTTCATGCCCACAAGACCCTGTATCAAGCAGCAGCAGTGAGTAAGACTGACTGGTGCTCATACAACATAATCTCGGAGCTCTAGAACCTGAAGCTTTCAGCTGTGAACCCTAAAACCCTCAACCCCAAACTCTAACCCATACAATTTAATTTGTAGCTTTAAGCCAGTTGGAATTATTCGGGGCACAGAGGGGCCCTTAATTGAGATCAGTTAGAGTTGGGCTAGAAGTACCGATGGGCTTCCGAGTAGGGATGCATTTTCATTTCCCAAAGGATTTCAGGGCCTGACTGGGGAGCAGATAGGGCTAGTTTTGAGATTTTTTGAGAAGCTTCCTACGCTTGGGTCACCTTCAGTCAAGGCACCCTCGACGCAATCTACAACCCCCCAAGCTGCACCGAGATGATAACAGGCGTACGCAATTTAAACACACGGCTGGCATGATGCTGCTAGGATCATCCCTCAAACTCAAGCAATGTCTGCTAACAAGACCAACAAGTATGAAATCCCAAAGGGAATTTCTCGCAGTTCGGTGTGCCTCATGGGAGCCTATGGATTTCTGGGCTGTGAGTCTTTTAGAGTTGAGGCTTTAGGGCTTAGGGCTTAGGGTTTAAGGTTTAGGGCAAGTTGTTTGAAATCTGTTTATCCTTTAGCTTCTAATGCTGCAAGCAGACCCCGCAGCTCATAAAGCATTAAGTCCTTAACTGCCAGTTCTAGACTCAAAACCAGGGTTCAGGGTTGAGGGTTTAAGATTTAGGCTTTAGTCTAGAGTTTAGGGCTCAAGGCCCTATACCCTAAGCCCAACTAAACTCGAAACCCGGTCTAGACAGGATCGAAAGAGGGCGTGCTGCCCGAGAATGCGGGGGATCCGCTGGGCTACATCCCAAAAGGAGGGGCCTTTGGGTTCAGGGCTAGGTTTTGGGGTTTCGGGATCAAGGTTTAGGGAGTAAGGTCCCATGACAGTCCCTTCTGTAGAGTTAAGGGTTTCAGGTTTAGGGTTCATGGATTCGGATTGAGGGTTCAGGGATTAGGCCTAGGGTTAAGGGTTATATAAGGGTTCGAGGTTTAGGCTTTGGGGCATCAGGATTCAGGGTCTAGGGGTTTGAACCTAGGGTTCCCAATAGTGATGGAAAAGAACATGGAAACTATAACATGATTTAAGGTTTACGGTTTGGAGAGGGTTGCCGGATTTAGGGTCTAGGGGTTTAGGTTGGTTAGGGATTTGTTTGGTTTTTGGGAAAAGGTTAGCGCCCTAAACCCTAAACCCTCCTAAACCCTAAGCCTTAAACCACGTAGACTCAGGCTTAATGAGCTGCTGCCTTGCTTCTACGCGATTTAGAGCTTAGGATACAGGGTTTAGGGTTTACGGCTTAGGATTTAAGGTTTAGGGGTCAGAGCTTTGGCCCTAAAGCCTGGAACCCTGCCTGATCTCCCAAATACAAATACTGACAGCCCTTGATCCAAACTGAGGGGTATGTGGGCTAAGATTATGGGCATTTTGGGAGAGGTTGGCCTTACCATGAATTGAGGTTCCCAAACTCTCCAGCCCTCCTATCGCAACCAGGACTACGGAAGCAGTGCAAGATTGTGGACACGGGCAGCCCTGAATATCAGGCGTCTTTGCTGGCCCTGAAACCTAAAGTATGTGGGAGATTCCGGGTCGAGTCGCTGAGGCAGTGGGTTGGGGATGAAGGAGACTTTAGCAGCCCCTCCAAATAAGTTCTCATAACAGGGGCCCATACCCCCAAACCACACAGGCGTATATGTGCCATGATCATGCACAATTGGGAGGTGTCATTAGGCCTTGACATGGGAAGACCTTAAGTTTATGAAGTCTACATCCTAGGTCTTCGTCGCTTGGGGAGTGCCGCGGGCCCTTGAGGGGCTGTAGGGGTAAACAAATACAAATGAATATCTATATGTATTCATTTATGTTATATATATATAGAGTGAGAGAGGTTACAGCTGGAAATTTCAAGGTGCCCTTAACAAGGAGATTCCATAGGGGGCGACTCGTGATTTGTGGGTTAATGTTGTTTGCAGCTCGGTGTTTTGACAGTAAGATGTCAGCGAATATGCTACGCAGTTAAGTCCCTGTCTTACTGAAGTCGCCAAAACTTTGGTCAATAAACAGATATAGGACGTTATCATCGCCATACGATAGTTATCAGGTCCTTTTGATAGAGGGTGGGGTAGCTCCTTATAACCTCTATGGCCTTGAAGCAAATCAGAGGCTCGCAAGTCCCAAGTCAAGCCGTCAGGCAATTGATCTTCGGTAATATAAAATCTGAAGAAATGCCAATATTGTGGTCGCAGGTTTCTTGTACAATCACGCTATTTGATACCTTAGGTAGACCTCAGAACTATGTTGGCAGTCATTTAGGCCACTGTAGTACGTTCCAGATGGTCGGAGCACGTTCGTTCGTTGGCTTGGAAAATGCGTGCATCAAGTGCAGAGTTTCTGACGGCAGTGATACCCCTGGGACGATGTACATGAGCCATACGAGCGTGAGCATCATCATTATCAACCTGCGGAATTCCATGCAGTGATCTCTCTTCGGGGATCAGCAGGACGTAGTAAGTAAGCTGAGAATAGTTGGTTTAGTACATAGCTTATAGGGTTTATAAGCAAACTTACTAAGTCGACCCCCCAGTAAACCCCCCCAGCCCAAAATCCTAATAAGCCCGTCTATAATCCCAGTTTCCATTTATTCTTCCATGTTCTCTCCCATTTGATTCTCCATGTCTGGGCCCTATACCCTAAATCCCAACCCCGTAACCCTAGCCTGTAAACCGTCTTCAGGCGCAGCAGCGTCAAAAAGAAGCAGCAGAAGAGAGCAATCGAGCTCAGCAGGCATGCCTGGGTCACAAGTTTAGGGTTTAAGGTTTAGGGTCCAGGGCTTAGGGTTTAGAGTTTAGGCTTTTGGGGTTAAGGCGGTTTAAGGCTTGGCTGCAAGCCACTGCTTTAGGGTTCACCCTGATCGGGTCCTGGGTTCCGTTATCATACACTTAGCCAACAGGAAGAGAGTACCTACGCCTCCAACCACAAGTCCTAGATCCGCAATCATACATTTTGGAGAGAATAGGTTTTGCCAGTTACGAAGCCATTCACAGGGGCTCCCATTTCGGGTGTGGGAGTTTGGCCTTCAAGTTCTCTTGAACTCCTCACATCGAGAAATTCACAGTCCATACAACATCCGCAGGAAAGACCTCCAGAATTTCCACGCAATCTTTTCATATCTGGAGAAACCGTCGTCCTGGATTTTTGCTAATTAACAAGCGCACCGCTGTAGTATCACACCCAGACAAGCTCTTAAACTCAATCAAATGCCTGAATTAGGCCCCAGATACCGTAAAGCCTAAAATCCCAAACCTCTAACCCCCGAATCCCCCCAAACCCTCAACGGACGGCAGGAGTTCAGGGACTCCATCCTTGGAGATTTGGACAAGTGGACCAAGAAAGCCGATCACGATCGACGCTTGGCCCGCTTGGCCTTCTTCTTCATGGGCGCAAAATACAGGAGCTGACAGAGATGTAGAGGGGTCTTTAGGAATATCTATATGGGGGTTTCCCAAAAGTAGGGGTACCTTTTGGGGGGTCCCCATAATAAGGATTATAGTATCTTGGGCTCCATATTGGGTCCCCTTATTCTGAGAAATTACCATATATATATATATACAGAAATGTGTAGGGACAATACCCCAATAGCGGCAAAGAACAAGGAATCCTTCAGATGATTAAGGGTTTAGGCTATAGGGTTCAGGGTTTTTCCGTGATGCCTCAAGATAGAAGGAACTTTGTGATCATAGGACCTTCTAAGAGACAGATTGTTTGAAGCGCTCCACGCTTGTTCAGGCTTATGCTGTTTGGACGTTAGGTCTATTAGTACGTAGCCCGGAACCCTAAGCCCTAAACCCGAAGCCCTAAACCCTAAACCCAAATCCTAATCACCCTTAACGCTAACTGCAGTGAACGCCATCCCAGAATTTTGTGGGTATCCTCACCCAAACCCTAAGCCCAAACCCCAAAACCCTAAATCCTAATCCTCAAACCGCGGGCCTAAGCCTCAAATCTTAAACCCTAAAACCTCGAAACCCTAACCCGAAACCTTATGGAGTATCCCTTAGGTGGACGCCCACCCAGCAATGGTGGTATAATAGGATTACAAGAGGACCCTAGATTACCATGTCCCTTGTAGTTATTTTTATTGGGTGCAGGCTCCAACATAAGATGTAACCCTGAAATCCTAAACCCTCAACCCTGAACCCTCAACCCTAAACCCTAAACCCTCAACCCTAGACCCTACCTAAACCCCAAGAGTAGGTAAAATAATCGCCCCAAACCCCTGAACATAGCCCAAAAGGCCATTATTCTACATACTTCTGGGGTTCAGGTAACCCCTAAGATATACGTTATAACCTGGTCCTAACTCTGAGGCTGGGAGGCAGACTTGCCGGAAGGCACAGAACCGATCTCGGTGTCGAAGTACGACAACGACTACTCCAGGCTGGGTTTAAGGGTTTAGGGGTTTGAGGGTTTGGGTTTGGAAGTTTGAGGTTTAGGGCTGGGGGTGAGGGGGTTTAGGGTTTCGGGGTTTGGGGGTTATTGGTTTGGGGGTTTAAGGTTTAGGATTCATCGTTTAGGGGGTTCAGAGTCTAGGGTGTTATGCTTTAGGGTTTCTGGGTCAGAGAATTCAAATGGAAAAGAAATTTGATAATGAACTAGGATTATAGAGAGGTTCAGGGGCTTAGAGCTTAGTCCTTCAGGGTTTAGGGTTTGGGTTTTAGGGGTTGAGGGTTTCGGGGTGAGGGTTCATGACTTAGTACTTCTTGCGTGAGGTTAGGGGTGGAGGGCTCAGGGGGATGCTATCCCAGTATTACTATCTTAATTGCTGTTACGCTATGCCAGTGTGTTAATATTATGTTCATAGTATGATGAAACGTGGGGATTTAGGGTTTCTGGAGTTTCCATGCTATTGGCCATGCCGTCCACTTGCCAAACCAGAACAGCTGCAAGAACAGCGTTAGTGATAGTAACAGTAAAGTAATAGCAATAATGAGAACAATACCAATACGATTATGCATGATACCAGAAGTAATGATAACAACGTGAGTACAGTAATCTTTAAACAGAAATATCAGGTAACTGGGATCCCTAAGGAATGGCAATAATAGTAATGTGTAGGAATAGTAATCATAATAAGCAAGCGCGAAAGCGTTGGATGCCTTCAAGCCGCTGGCCGGCAGCCCTTGGGCCGGGCAACTTGCAATGCTGTCACCATGATTGGAGTAGTGTTCTCTCCCCTTGTATTGCTTAGGGCTTCAGGGTTTAGGGCTTAGGGTTTTGCGTTTGGGGAAGCACCCCTCAAAAATACATGTGCACCCTGTGGTATGTGCTAGTAGCAATAGATTGAGGGTATTCATTATCAGGGGTTGGACGGGGTTCATTCATTCGGCCTAAACCCTAAACCCCATAGACCCCTTAAATCCAAACCGAACAGCCCTTCCCCCGGCAGACTTGACTGCGGGCCAAAGGGATATTGATCAACAGTGCTAGGTAGTTAGGGTTTAGGGTTTAGGGTTTGGGGAGTTAATCATATCCCCCTAACAATTAGGGTGTAGTGTGGATTTTAGGCTCTTGTGGTAGTGGCTAGGGGTTAAATTAGGTTTTTGCTGACAATTCAGTCGAAGCGCTCTATCTGCATACGACTTCAAGTCCTGCCACCGGGACCCATACATCAATTTGAGTTAGGAATCCAGCCTAGGGTTTAGGGTTTAGGGTTTAGGGTTATTGAAAGTCATCCCCGATTCTTTCTCCAAATGAACTCTACTCTAAACTCCCTTAAGGGGGACTATGCAAAGGATTATATGGGGGCGTGTTACAGGGCATATTAAGGGGGATACTAGGAGTTTAGACTATACTTGGTATGAGCTACTGTCAGCATTAGGCTTACCAACAGACGATTGAGGCTGGACATAGGGGTTTCTTTGGTAGTTTAGTATCGTTCAGTATTGTTACTAATATACTCCTTGATAGGCACCCATGTACTTTAAGTATAAGGGCAAGTCTTGGCTGTAGCTCATATGGAGCTTCCAAAATTGGGGCAAACATTGGTGACCCTGTTAAAAACTGTTGAGTAAAAGTTTTTTTTTGTTGGGAGGGGGGGGAGGGGGGTGGGTGTGATTTTGTTTGAGAAAGCCCCGAAGCCCCACACTCCTAAGAAGCTACGTAAGCCTAAGTCCATATTCCTAAGCCCTAAACCCCAACAACCTATTAGTCTTAGCCCCTTTATTGTTAGCTGGCCAAAGTTGAACATTTTAGTTCTTACTGTACAAAAAGCCGGAAAACAGTTGACTATAGTTTTCTATCATCATCCAATAGAAGCTGTAGACCCAACACCATTTCGAAACACTACCCTCCTCCAAATTAACATGGAAGCCCATGTAGCCTTTCTTGTGATGAAGAAACAGTGGTCTATATCGAGCCTTGGTTGGGGCCGTAAGCTTTAAACCCTGAACCCTAAGCTCGCAAGCGCTGACTGCAGGTTCGACAGCATTGTAGATGAGCCCGAGGCTCCACAGCAGGAGCACCGGGACTATTACTTTGACCACACAGGCTAGGGGCTTACTTGTGGGGGTCAGGGGGACTTCGGGAGCCATACAAAACCCCAGAAATCCTCATGTTCTACCTACTTTCCAAGTCCCCCTGACCCTCGAAATAGTGCTGGCGATGGGATTCAGGGTGTATGGCGTTTAGGTTAGGGTGTAGGGTCTAAGGTTTAGGGTCCGGGCTTTAAGGTCTAGACCCTAGACGTCGCAGAGGGTGCAAGTTGTTCTCCTCTACTGCGAGACCTCAGAATTACATTGGTAACCATTTAGGCCACTACAGTATAACTATTGGGACCTTTCTTGAAGAAGACGATCTACTTCAAGGTGGACCCAGGTAAGGCTTGCTGCGAGAGTCAGGGGGATTAAGCACGCAGGCCTAGCTGGGCTTACCTGCCAGGTTGTTCAGGGTTTCGGGTTCGAGGTGTAGAGGTTACCATATGGCCTTTTAGGGGTTATCAACATACTTACTAGGTCTCCCTGGGATCTGGATTTGTGGGTTCTGGGATATTACGGTTATTGTAACAATCAACAATATCATCATCACAATCATCATCATCCTCATCCTCATCATCATCATCATCATCACACCATCACCATCATCATTGTCAATATTTCTTTATCAATGTTACTAACTTCAGTGTTGGTATCGTCTTAGATCCTGAGAGCTCGTCTTTTTTATAGGACTGTATATCACAAATACCAACGACATGAGGTCCGAACAACAGGCTTGCTGAAGGGTTACGTAGGGCCTCTTTTAGACAGTATTGGAGGGCGGGGGTGGTAGTTTGGGGTAGGGTGGAGGAAACCTTGTACGACCTGGAGCCCGCATACTTTGATAATTCGCAAAGTATGGGGTATGCAATGTGGTGCCAGATTTCCTTCAACCACAGCATGACTCAGTGCGCAAGCCAAACCCCCACACTTCACACTAAAGGTGAACATGGGTAAGTTCCCAAACTTATGTAAGCAAGCAATTCCGAGTTCTTAGACGCACGTGGTAGGGCTCATCGTGTGAGGGGTGCCTTGTAGGGTTTAAAGCTTTAGAGTGAACAACCACTAAAGCCTGAGTCCGCATCCGCTCCAGGGGCGCCGCGGAAGTTTGACGAAAAGCCTCAAAAAAGCACTGCGGACAAGGAGATGGCACAGGCCATCATGATTTGCACAGTTTAGGGATACACGGATGCAGAAAGTGTGCATGGTACTATTGATATTAAAAAGCCTGCATGACCTTAGTATACTATAGTACCATTATTCCCAAGATTTAGGGTACTTACGGTCATGCAGGATTTCTATCATCCACCGTACTTCGGGGTTCAGGCTTTGAGGCTTAATTCGGGGGCGGCTCAGGCTCTCGTGTGTTTAGGGTGTTGAGTGTAATTAGCGTGTTGCGTAGAGCGGTTAGGCTTAAATAGTTTTAGGGTTTAGGGTTTAGGGATAGGGTAGGGAGACATGGCACTCGCCCGATAGAGGAAAACCGGCGTGGCTACATGTTAGCCCAGCCATTTCGAAAAGCTGCTTCCGGAAGTGGCTGCGATGGTGCGACGGAGGATTTGGGCTGAGAGCTCGGAAACATTAGCGAACACGACTCCACCCTCAAGAGAGGTGACTGGAGCTCGGATATCTTGGCTTCATTGTGTTCCGGCAGCGAGTGCCCGGCGATCACTGGCGTCAGTGGTGGTGACGCGCATGCCACCTTGAGGTCTCTCCACTCTATCTTCAAGAGGGAGAAGGAGGATCACATGAGTGATTGCACATGCATCTTCACCCATCTCCAGTTCCGTATGCTCCAAATCAAGGACATCATGGACCTATGCTCGGAGTGCGAGGCTGCAGAGCCAGAGCTTATGTTTGCCAGAGCAAGGCAATTTCATGAAGAGGCAGAGCCGTTATCCCTCAATCCCTTTGATGCAAACATAGCAGGTGTGAAGCGAAACTGGGAGGCCGTTCTTAACTGGGTTTTCAGCGCAAGTGGCGCAGGCCATAGCAGTAGCCGTAGCAGTGTTCATCGTGTTTCTGGTGGCAGTGATAGTGCTGGTACGTCGTAGTAGAAGAATTAGAACGCTGAGGGTCCAAGGACCCAAATACAGGGCGCCAGATTATAGTATTTGGGCTCTAAAACCCCATTATTTCAGTCCTTTGGACCCTTAGGGGAATGTATATTCTAGCAGCACTCGTAGCAATCCTGGGAGTCGCTGCCCCCTACCAAGCTTTAAATCAGGGCCTACTTGCTTGGAGGGTCATGGGGACTTAGTAAGTCGGTTAATAATTTGGAGAACCAGGGTTATTGTATGGGTTAGAGGGCTTATGAACCTACTTACTAAGTCCCGCTCACCAGATGCCCAAACCATAATAACGTTCGTGTTCCCAGAGCATACGATCACTAGAGCATCCATGCCCAAACCATAATAAAGTTCGTGTTCCAAGAGCATACGATCACCAGAGCATCCATGCCCAAACCATAATAACGTTCGTGTTCCAAGAGAATACGCTCACCAGAGCATCCATGCCAATAGACCTGTAAAATGGAAATGTGCAAAAACCCAGGTTTTTGCATATTTCAAGCATCCATGCCCAAAGCATGATAACGTTCGTGTTCTAAGGGCATACGCTCACCAGAGCATCCATGCCCAAACCATAATAACGTTCATGTTCCAGGAGCATACGCTCACCAGAGCATCCATGCCCAAACCATAATGCTTCAAACCCGAAGTAATCCTTGGCAAGTGGTATTTCTACCTTTTTTCTACTCCTCCCGAAAGTTTCGTTTTTTCCACGCTCACAAAATATGCTTCTCGCTGTATTGAAACCCTTAAAGTTGCTGAACAAGTTGACCCGTCTCAGTGTTTTTAGCCCCTCTCCAAAATAGGCCTGTAAAATGGAAATCTCCAAAAACTCAGGGTTTTGCCCATTTCAACTCCCCGAACCACTTTGCCTAGTGAAGATTCGCAGGGGTCACGAGTAGACGTGCCACCATGTTTTTGACAATTTCCTGTATGATTTGGCTGTGTAGACTTAGGCGCACGCAAGTGAAGCCTCGGTCAACTTTCTGTAGGGTTTAGCGCCAGACTCCGTCAAAGCCCGACACTTACACCGAACACGTGCTGGGAGGTCCTGCAAAAGGGCTTTCTGGAAAATGCCGGTTGGCTGAGCAAGGGTTTCAGATTCAGCCTTGAGGGTATGCTGTCGTGGGGGCGCCATGGTTATTAGGGTTTAAGGTTTAGGGTTGTGGGATTATGTAGTGGAGAGCAACAATTCTGTAGGGACCATAAGGTTTCGATTGCATGGCCAATGCAGCTCTAGATCAGGATGTGCGTTTTCCCAAATTCCTAGAAGTGAACCTACAGGAGGGAGGTAGAATATGGAGTTTGTAAAATACATCGCTCCCATGGTCCGTTTTTTGGCCCGAATACATTTCGTGAAGTCACCACAGGACCTACAGAGCCCCGTCTCAAAAAAGAAGTCTCCCCTACAGTCGTGCTTGCAGCCTGTTACAGCTTCCTTGCTTCGCCCACCCTCACCTGGGTAGGCTTTCAAGTGGGGATCTTACACAAGTCCCCAATAGTAAGATTATGTCCTCGTTTGGGTACGGTATTCGAGACAAAAAATCGTCTGAGTTCAGACACCAAAAAACACCTCAACCCTAAATCCTGAATCTTTGACATCCTGAAGCATCCCTATATTATGTGTCCCAATATCCTTATATATCCCCCTGTATGAATATATATATATATACATATACATATCCCTACATGTGCACCGGTTTAACCACCCAGAAGCACGACTCATCTGAGGCCAAGAAGGCTCTTTATCCCAAGGGCTCCGAGCAGGACGGTTGCCATACTGCTCAGGGACGGTTCTGAGGTTAGGGGACATTTTGCAGACCTCTCTACTACCATCTTAGCACATTACATGTTTTGTGGGGGTTTAGGCTGGGGTGTAGGGTTTAGGGTTGTTTTCTGCAGTAGAGGTACTAAATGTCAATGCTTTTAGCCGGGTTGTTCATAGCAGGCCAGGATATCCTAAGCCCTAAGCCTTCCTTGAAGGTTCATGGGACTAAGTAACTACTGTTAACTGGTGTTATAACCTTACTTCTAATCCCTATATGAGCCTCCAAAATAATTTTTCATTTTTGGTTACCATAATCCCAAGAACAACCCTAAACCCTAGACCCTAAACCCTGAGGCCAGTTTAGATCCCCTTGAAGGGCCTTATGGGGGAAGTAGGCTTTTAAGCCTACTTAGAAGTAGCTGCTAAGTCCCATAAACTTCCAAGTGTATAACCATTTTGGGTTGGAGATATGTGGGGCTTCTTTTCAGCTGTACACTGGTGCATTGTTGAGAGTTGTGTCGTTCTACGCCCAAGAAGCCATAGGAATGTTGATCTCCGGTGAGGAAACACTTCGGATGTCCCCGCAATGCTAGAGTCTTTCGGGGTTTAGGATATCCCCACTCTTTCATAACGGGCCCAATGATTTCGAAGCATCTTCAAACGTGGCCGAAGGCTCCTTCTGCTCCGAAGGCAAGCAGTCTTGAGGACAGTCGGGATGGTTTTTGGTTTGGGGTTTAGGGTTATATAGTGTACGGGCACCGAATAAAAGCTCTTTATAGGGGCCATACGGCCTTTTGAGGGGATTCCAGGGACCCCTAAGGGTACATGGGGATATATAGTAGGTATATAAGGATCCCAGGATAAAGGGCCCATACTAGATAGGCGCCCATGGTTCCAACCCCAGATTAGGATGGAATAAAATGCTGCGCCCTCCTTTTCTGCTCCACCCCAAAGTGAGACTGAACAAACACCCGATCCTTTTTTATTGTGGGAGACTGGTAGAAGTAGTTATACCTTTCCAGAAGCACAAAAAATGTCAAATTGGTGATTTTGTCCAAGTTGCATTTTCGTAGACTTCCTTCCCACCCATGAAGTTTGGTTCCAGCGGGGCTGAGGGATCAGTCTTCAAGGGTAAATGTATAACCCTAATACTATCCCAATATAACCCCTATAATCCCTGTAGTTTCCATGTTCTTTTCCATTATCCCTATATAACCCCAATATTACCCGAATATTACCCCCACATAACCCTATATAGTATATAATAGTAGTTTCCATTTTCTTTTCCATTATCCCTATATAACCCTGTATTATGCCTGTTTGACACTGGCGATCCCCAAGCCCAGCCCTAAACTCCAAACCGAGCATTTCGGGGCTTCAGGGTTGAGGTGGCTTCAGGATTTTGGAGGGTTTTGGGTGGATGGCGGCTAAGCCTCCTCAAGCCTCAGCCCTTGCAAAGCTTGAACCTAAAGTCCTAACAACTATGAGCCCTCAATCGGGTGTGTAGGGTTTTAATTATGGGGTTTAGGGTGTACAACAGGTATATAAGGACCCATACTACAACCATGGATGGAATCTGCAATCTTGAGCTGGAGCAGACACCAGATGCCCTAAACCGCATGCCATATCTGCGTCCCTCCCCCTCGTATACCTTTAGTTCATATAGGTTATCCAGGCCCCTCAAGCCATAGGATGTTCAAATCTAAGGGCCCTATTTGGGGCATAGGGCTTTTTGGGTGAAGAAGCTGCGAGTTCGGGCTTTGCGGTTTGTAAGGTGCCTTCTCTGGGTAGGCCCCTTGGGATATTTGATTTCTTCCCCAATGGCTTTAATAACGGACCCCATATATTAATATTTTTCAAAGGACTTCAGGGGCCAACCCAGTTCTGCAAGACTGCAGAAGTATCCGACATTTTGCGAGCCTCATATCTTTGAAGTTGCCGGTGCTCAAGTGGCACTTTGAAGGCGAATCTAAGCAAATTGAATTAATTGTATATGGTACCTGATCCCTACACCCAAAACTGTGTATAGTTCTATGGTAGTTTCCCAAAATTAGGGGACCCTGATGTAGACCCCAAAATACTATAGTCTTTATTATGGGGTCCCCTAAAAAGCTACCCATAATTTGGGAAATCCCCAGATGTAGTAACAGGGCTCCACACCTTCCCCTCTTTACAGAATTTGGAAAGGGAGCCCACAGCAGCAACCGGGTTTAAGGTTTAGGGTTTAGGGTTTAGGGTTCCCAGTGTTCTGCAATAGCCTACTGGTTGCCAGCAAGGGATGGAAGAAGGCATCCCTTTAGTATTTAGTTTAGGGTCTAGGGTTTCCATATGGTCCGGTTTTCTGGTCCGCATACCACATATTCCTGGGTGTGTCTTACTCGTCATGAGCTAGACGGCTGCAACAATACTACGGCCTCGCAAACCCTTATGGTACCAACTACTCCTGAGAACCACTTGCAACTGCAAACCACGTAATGTCTTCCCCGTAATATTGAACATTCTCCAATCCCCCAACATAAAATATGTCCCCGACATAGAGGGTCTCTTATAGGGAGCATTTCATATTAGGGTGCGGCAGCCCAGTCTTAAGTTGAAAAGCTTCGCAGGATGCGTCGAAACATTCCCAGATGTATCATTCCCAGTGTGGAGCCCAGAACCTAGCCGTAATTAATACATAGAAATTTGCCTAAATACGGGGACGCCAATGTAGGCAGTCACATACTATAATCCTTAATATTAATATGGGACCTCCAGAAGAGTATTTTGGGAAACCCTAAACCTTAATCCCTAAGCCTTAAGCCCTGTGGAACCCCATATAACCCTGTAGCCGCTTTAAAGATTGCAGTTACAATTCCTACATAACCGAACAGCCCGTAAGTGCCATGCCCTGCAGGACATGGAGCAGCTGGCAAAGCTGAGCGAGGGAGAGCTCATGGAGAGGAGCGTGCAAACTATACGATTCAGGGTTCAGGGTTCGGGTGGTTTAGGGTTTAGGGTTTAGGGGTTTAGCGTTTAGGGTTCAGGGGCTTAGGGTTTAGGGTTTAGGGTCTGGGGTTTAGGGTGGAGGGTTGCGGGCTCAGGGTTTACGAGGGTCCTGTTCAGGGAGGGGGGGAGATGCATGTAATGGGAACATGTGTGGTGCAGAAGGACTTTGTGGGCGGAGTGGGCTTGGGGTTCTGAGTGTTCACGGGTTTAAGGTTTAGGGGTAAGGGTTCAGGAGCAACATGGATGTTTGATTCTGGTCCGCATGTGGCAGTTTCTCAGGAAAGTCCCCACACAATCCCTGATGAATTAACAAGCACCCCTATGTCCCTATGTTACCAATTCAATACAATGGCCCTAAAATCCTAAACCCCAAACCCTAAACTCCGATGTTCCTGAGACAATGGCCCTAAACCCTGAACCCTATTTTCCCAAGGCGATGGACAGATATTTCCAGGGTACCCAAGAGTTCTCGATGTTTAGAAACCCCAAGTCTGGGGTACCCGTATTTGCTCGGACCCCAAAACAACCCTAAACCCTAAACCCTACTTGGAGGGTCATGGGGACTAAGTAAGTAGGTTGATCATTAGGAGAACTCCGGGTTATAGGGGTTAGTAACCTACTTACAAAGTCCCCCTGACCCTCCTAGTAGACACCCTAATCCCGAAACCCTAAACCCTTAAACCCTAGACCCACTTCTCAGGGTTACCCAAGGTATCTAGGATTCAGGTCTACCGCTTCCCAGACCCCTGGGAGGATCTAGAAAGTAGAACACCCCAATATTGTAACCTATACTACTATTGGGTAATTTCTAAGAATCCTTAAGGGGGGTCTACTTTCTAGATCCGCAGGGGTCTGGCTTGTAGGATTTGTGGACATATCGAAATGCAACTTTTGAGGGTTTACTTGCTGATTCTTAGTAGGGAATAAGGGAATATCATCCCTATATAACCCTATATACCACATTCCTATATTCCCTACTAAGAGACACTGAGTTTACGGTTATATTGTATCGATTTTGGGATGTTCATGCACGCCGCATTCGGATGTAACGGCGTGCTACTGCCGGGATTCGGTAGTTTCCCAAAATGGGGACGCCCAACATGGCACCCCTAATTTTTGGAAGCCCTAAACCCTAATCCCTAAACCCTGGGCAAGATAATCCGATGGATCCCCTTTGATGGCACCCAAGTTTTGGGAAAGTCCCATTATGCAATAGCTTCAAGACCTGACTTCTACAAGCACTGAGATCTCCCCCACGCCGCCAACGAATATGGAGATCCTAGAACTTAGGGCGTAGGGGTTTATGGTTTAGGGATTTAGGGCCTAGGGAGTTAGGGTTTACCGGGTTTAGGGCTCAGGGGTTTAGGAGTTTAGGGTTTAGGGTTTAGAGGGACATCCTTCCAGTGCAAAATTGTTTCCTGTTCTTGCGTTTCTTCCTAGGTTTAGGGTTTAGGGTTTAGGGAAGGATTCCCCAAGAGGCCGCACGGTAGTATCACTCCACAACAGATCTGACCAAGCACGCGCAAGCGCAAGGATAGCAGACATGTCACCGGAAGAGAAGTCGATGCAGCTTGCCAGCATATGAAAGTTTCTGAGCTTAAATCTTACCCTAAACCCTCAACCCCTAAACCCTAAATCCTAAACCCTAAACCCTAAATCCTTGAAGATCCTCGTCTATCTCCCTCAGGCCCCCCGGGGGCCCGTATTAATTACAAGGAAAATCCCTGGCTGGGGAGTGGGTGATGTATACAATTCTGCCCACCGCTACCTGGACCCCAAAAGTAGGTGAAATAATTGCCTTTACGGCTATTATTATGGGTTAAGGGCTTTCATTTTACATAATTTCGGGGTTTGGGTAAGGACAAACTTCCCCACCTTTCAATAACCCTAAGGCTCCATATAGGTACTACTTATAGGGTTTGGGGCCCGATGTTGGTATTAATTATGGACTTAGAGGTTCAGGGGAAGAGCTACGTACTCCCCGCAGCCCACAATCCTATTCCAAAGCCTCTCCACGTCCAGCTGGTAGCAGTAGTGTTTCATCCATGCTTAATCGCCTTATCCACCGCATTCGTTCCAGAACAGATCGCGCGTCTGCGTGCAGACGCCAACTGCAAGAAAGTAGCTCTCTTTTTGTCCAGCCCTTTTAGGCTCCCTGTACAGTAAGAGTGCGTAATCTAATTCGTTGGTTTATGCCTGAACTACATTTTCACATGTTAATGAACACCCGAGCCCCGCAAAATAATGGTCATCTCTATTTTTACCGTTCTCCCTGCCCTTGCCAAGTGTTATCAGAGCCAATGATCAAAGCATTCTCTCCCTAGACCCCAAAGCTTCGATCGCGTAGCAGCCATCATCCAATTAGCTGCTGATGCCAGAATGTCATCTCGTGGGTCCATCCGAGTGTTGCAACGATGGCTTTTGTGATAGTAGAAACGCTACAAAAACCCTAAACCCGGGTTTAGGGTTTAGGGTGCACACCCTCCTCCAAAACAAGTAAGCTTTGTTGATAGGGACACTTGGTAGTTTCCTAAATAGGGGGCCCAAAGTAGCACAATCCTGATTAGTTATAGGGACCCCGAAAAAGGAAGGTACCCCTAATTTTGGACTTGTCTTTGTTTGTAGGGCCCCTTTCGACCAAGGGCCTCCGGTTTAGGGCCTCAAGCCCTAAAATTTCGGAGCCCCGCAGCACAGAAAGACTTTGAATTAGGCTTACCATACCATCGGCGTATAGTAATAGTTTGGGTACATAAGGTTTAGGGTTAACTTACCATAATATGGATATATACATATACACGTATATATGCATTTATGAGCCCAAATTTTCTACAACTTCAAACTCACCATAAAAACTCAGCCCTGAACCGTAGATCCTTAATCCTAAGCCCTAAAATCTAAACCGTTCAGATTTCAAAGTAAGGCAGAGAAAGCTTCTCCGCTGTTTAGGGCTTAGGGTTGAGGGTTTAGGGACAGCCCAGCAAGCCCAGGATGGCCGATCTGCGGTCCATGATCGAGAACAAGGCATATCCGCCTTTTACTGGTTCCAGGGTGTTGGGCCAAATTAAGGGTTCATGGTACGTAGTTTAGGGTATAGGGTTAAGGGGATTTAGGATATGGGTTTTAGGGTTTAAGCATCTGCGCCTATGCTGAGGTATGTAGGGGCTATGTAAGTGAAAGGTTTAGGCTTGAGGGCTCGGGACGTAAGAGAAAAAAGTTGATGAGTGGCGGTTCAGCCATGTTCCTGGCCGGACGCCAAACTCTGGGGGCTAGCACGTAGTAATCCGCCGAACCTTCCCAAAAAATGCCAAGTAACAGGGCCCAGTGTGATTGTTTGGGGTTACCAAAATGGTCTCATTATGAGCCCTGCATTCCCTTTAAATGTCACCCTGACTTTAAGCCTCAAACCTTCATGGGTTAGGGTTCGAGACCCGTAAACCTTCAATCTCTAGTACCTAGGGTTATAGTCCGCCTTAGTAGGATATGGGGTGTATGGGGGTTTTAGTACAATATACCCAAAGCCATATTCTATCTGATTAAGTGGGACTATAGGGGTTTAGGGTTCAATCTCCAGCTTCAAATATCTGGCTTGCCTTTAAGGCATTTAAATTAAGCTGCTAGACTCGGGAAACCCAATTTTTCTAATTTCAATTACGGCTACTCAGATTAATTTATGCCCCATCTACCGTCAGTTTCCATTCCATTTTCTATATTCTTTTCCATCTGATTCCCTTTTTGGTTTCACTGGTGCTCACAAGAAGTTACCGCCCGCAAAAAGTGGAGCCCGCTCGCTCAGCGTTCAATTCAAAAACATCCATCTGATTCTCCGCTGTTCCAAACCCTACTTGGAGGTTCGTGGGACTCAGCAATTATTGATTTTTGGGGTTATAAGCATCCCATTATGCGGGTAACCCCGATCAGGCCATTTAGGGGCATTATAAGTTGGCTTATTAACCCAGTCATAGATAATTAGTTGCTAAGTCCTGTGAACCCTGAATCCCTAAACCATGAACTCTATAACCATAAGCCGTATGCACATCCCTATAACCCCTTTTTAAGGGAACCAAGTATAGCCCCAAACCCTATACATCCCTATAACCCCTTTTAAAGGGGACCAGTTCAAGTAAACCCAAAACCTACAACCCTAAACCCTTCTTTAAGGGAACCAAGTAGACCCACACATCCCAAGCTCCTCAACCATCAGGTGACAGCTGCAACCGGACTCTCCGGCGAGCCTTCAAGGCGCCAGCTGCATCAACAGATGGTTTAGGGTTCTGGGTGCGCTGAACCCTAGACCCTAAACCCTAAGCCCTAAACTGTAAAGGGTTGAAGGGTTTTAAGGGTTTAGGGTTTTTGCTCTGGGGGTTTAAAGCTTATGAGGGCTTCAAGCCTCAATTTAAAGGTTAAAAGGTTTAGGGATCAAGGGTTGAAAGGGTTGAGGGTTTAGGCTTTAGGATTTCATGTAAGGGCTTATGGGTATAAGATCTGGGCAAAGCGGAGTGTAAGGTTGTCAAGGAGGACATGAACTATGAGCATATGAGCCATAATCTAAACTCTTTAAATGGGGTTATACAGGGGATTATGTGGGGGACTACTATAGGGGCTATTAAGGTGGATACTAGGAGTTTAGACAATGGCTCATATGTCTGACCTCTCGTCAGTGGTGGGTTTTGGGCTTGGTGATCCCTGATTTGGAATATGGGTGGTTTGCCAAAATTTAGGTGTGTCTTTTAGGGGGGTGCGCATAATGAGGACAATAGTATTTGGGGTCTATATTGGGGGTCCCTTCCTTTAGGAAGCTACCGAATTGAGTTGACAGACAGGAGGGAGGTCACCCATAGCCGCACGCACACATCCCCCTGCCGTGGAGTGCTTACCCACACCCCCGCCTTGAAACCTAAATCCCATACACCCTAAACCCTTAACCCTATACCATAAACCTTCTACCCTAAACGTTA